AATTATATTAAGGTGTCACGATCCAATACTGTCGTCATGGTTACCATTGACTTGAACGATGACAGCTTTGGTAGGCTTGGCGAACGGCTGAAGACCAATTGAAGTGTTTTCTAGCTTGGAGTCCTTTGTTGGAGTATTTTCACTTGAGCTAGTTGTTTCAACAGTAACTGTCTCGGCTATCGAGTCAACCTCTTCAACATTTCCTCCATTTACCTCCATCTTGACTGCGAGAGAAATTTCATCCATGGCTTCTTCTGCTTTCCCTTGGGCCAAATCCTTCTCGATTTCTTCTTTTACAGCTGGAGAAATAGCTTGAATCACGTGGTGTATCACGTGCTCTCCGTTGATGCTTTGCGCACTTTCATCTTCAGTTTGCATTAGGCAAGTGTTGTTGTTTTCTTGCAGGATTTGCTTCCTGGCATCGTGGACAAGTTCTGTGTTGTTGACGACCTGACGATCATTGTCACGTGACCTTAGTTGCTGCGTTGCTAGGTGCTCGATAGTTGCTATGGGAGAACGCGCAATGTGGCTTACTGTGATCGACGGTACAGATACTGGAGTCATTGATGGCGGGATGAATGCAGAGGCTGTAGCAGTAGATATGCTAGTTATAGGAATGGGTTGRATCTGTCTAACGGTACTTGCTATGGCTTGAAGTGCTTGGCTTGCGTTTGGTGGAATCATTTGATGTGAGCGAACTGACGAGATGGTTAAAGACATTTGAGGAGAACTCGTGAATTGCGGAGAATCTCCAGTAACAATATTACTGGTCGGTAACATTAAAGACTGGTCCGTGTTCTGSAAATGAACAAGAAACTGGGTTATTTAAATTGTCCGCCATTTTGATCTGTTAAATGGTATGCCCTACCTGTGTGATGACAGGAATCACTCGCTGTGTTGCAATCCCATCATTCTCCATGCTTGCTGACTGCATCAACGTACCAACACCTGGGAGAACCTGACCACTAGAAACAGCAGCGCCCGCGGCTTCCATAGTCTGACTAACTGGAGATTGGAAGGTGGATGACGTAGGTGTTGGATATGACGCATGTGCTGGTGACGTCACTGGCTGGCGAAGATGAGTCGATGGCGTTTGGGGAGTAGATGTGATCGGCGGAATTTTCGGAGCTGCTATCGATGGTAATTGTGAGGAGTTGGGAGAACTGAGATTTTGGCCTGGAAACAAGTGTAATCAGTTTTAGCGACCAAGTTATTTCAACATTTTCTTAAGCTCGTATTTTGGGGTCTTGATAGATGAAACGCTTCCTTTTGTGGTCTTTATTGCTTATACGTTATTTCATAAAGCTTATGAAACAAATACGATACAAGCTTGTAAAAATGTTTCATGATAAAAATTATGATATGACTGAATAAATTTAAAATTAAATTATAATTGCATAATTGCCATAGAAACTACGAAAGCATACTCACTAGGGTTATCTTGGTAATTTGCAGCTTCTATTGCAAGTTTCATTCGAAACGTTTCTTCCTTCCGTCGGTTCGCAAACCAGTTATACACTCTACTCTCAGTGACCAGATTAGGACCCAAGCCTCCAACATTGCTGTAAGGTACTCCTCTTTGTTCACATTCAGCTTTATTGCACTCTATCACCAGTGCCTCTCTGATTAACAAACAAACTGTTTTAAAAGAGATTTAACTCCAAGATATCTAGTCGTTTACAAACGGAAAGGTAGGACACAAAGTAAACCGCTTGTAAGTGTGACATACCATCCTGGGATCTACACCTATTTCAAAAACGTTGTCATCACCAAGACACGGTCCATAGTCTTGAGCCTGCAAAGAATCTCGGGGTTTTCATGCGTAATTAATACTATTCAAAATATATTATATAATTGGCAATCCCGAGATTCTTTGCAGGCTCAAGACTGTGGACTAAGTCCTGGCACCGAGAACGTTTTTTGAAATATTTTGTTTATTTCACGGTTTATTTTTGTCCCCAAGCAGGCGCGTAGCGTGGACTTTTTGGCTAGTACGCACATGTCAGGGACCGCGACACATATTTTGGTTCTGGGGGTCTAGAGACCGCCAAAGGCGGGAGATTAAGGGAGTCTGAACCCTCCCCCAGGAAATTTTGAAATAAGAACTCTTGGAAAATTCGATTTCCAGCGCTTTGAGAGACATCGAGTGCATATAATAGGGATAAGTTTTAGGTGAATTTTTCAGTAATTTTTGTGAAAAATTTAATATTTCCTTGCCACTAGACAAGTACGCACGTGCGTATATGCGTAAAGGACGCAACGCGCCTGACAAGGGCTGTGTTGTTCAAAGCCCGATTAGTGTCAATCCAGGGCTACTGCAGTAACACCACCCGGCTCAGGTGAGGTTTAATGTCCTCTTGCATCTTGTTCATCTTACCTCTCATCTTTAGAGGGATTTCGCTGCTGTTCGTACGCATTGTACAGCAAATTTGTCGATGCAGGGCCCCATTTAAACCTATTACGTCTTGACCTCTTGCATGGGTTTTCATCGTCGTCTGGATACAGTCTTTTCCCTGGGTTACTGTACTCTGTACAATGTTGACAAAAAATAATAATAACAATAARCTAGAAGCGCTCATGCAAATAATGTTACAGTTATCTTAATGGTTCGTAAAGGAGGGGGAGGAGAAAGGGGATGATGTAAAGAAGAAAACAAAGTTTATAAAACATTTGAATGAAGAGGAATGATAGGCCAAGTTTTATAGTTCTCGAGGTTTCGTCGGACACACTCTGTTGATGATGTCGGTGTCCAACGAAACTTCGAGAAATCTAACCGATCATCACAGTAGCTTATGGCTGGCCTATCGTTCCTCTTCATTCACAACGCGATGCTATACTGAGGACAACTTTGAAACTCTTCATGCGGTAAAATTTGTGCGTGTAAGAAAAAAATCGCGCAAAAATATGACTCTTATCTAGTCTTTCTATGCGTACAGGTACATCAAAGTTCTCGGCATGAAAAAATGAAAGGAAAAAGAAAAGCTGTTGGGTGCTAATCGTCCTTCATGGCAGCACGGGTGCTGAATTACGAAAGACGCAGCTCGACGCGCTCTCACGTCGAAGTGCTATATACAGACACATTTTACACACTTACACATAGGCGTGCTGCCGGCTACGAGCTTCCTAATAACGTCGACTGAACGCACAGCATGTTACAGGTACGTTACGTTTTGAAAATAAAAGTAAGTTCTTTAAATCTTAAAATTCAAAATAGATGTTTTAATTCTTCGAAGGCAAGAGAAAGGAATAACAAAACGAAACGAAAAAAGTTTGTAATTCACGTGTCATGAAAAATCAAATCCAAAAAAGAGCAAAACACAAGAAAGAAAGAAAAAATGGAAATAGAAGAATAAAGTAAAGATGCAAATCCAACGAAAAAATACAGTGCACGCCACATAAGCGCCTAATAAGAATTAGTTATCAACTAACTAAGAATTTAGTGAGGCATAAACAAAGACAAGTTTCCTTTCATGCCCCAGTGAATTCTTAGTTAGTTGATAACTAAATCTTATGAGATGTTGATAGTTAAGAATTGTTTCATGCTTTTTGGCGTGCACTCTAAAGCGCAAAAATGGGAACTAAAGAATAGGATAAGAAAGTAGATAGTAACAAAACATACGTAGAGTGATTTCTTTTTGCTTTCTTTCAAACCAGGTGTATAAAACAGCTCTTTTCTGGGTTTTCATTGGTGTTCCTTTGTTAAGATGCTGCGATAGATGGCTTTGATTGAGACCTGTCGATTCCACTACCTCTCGCTGTGGAATGTTGTGTTGCTGCATGTACATCTTTATGACACGTGCGGCCTGCCATGGATCGATGCTGCAAAAAATTTAGTATTGAACTACTTCATTGACAAAAAAAAATCATATGTAACATTTTATAATGATGTAAGTGATGACTTATCCAGTAACACTTGTATGTATAAAAGGAACTGTTCGCCCCATGTAAGAGAATCGACTCAAGAATCCGAAATCAAGTAAAAAACAGCTTTGGAATCCGAAATCCGTATCATGGAATCCGGCATCCAAATTTTTGGATTCCAGAATCCAGCAAAAAGTCTGAAATCCAAAAAAAAAAAACACATTCTTTTTACATGGGGCGAAACTGCCCACACAATGTCAGAAACTTTAACTTCCACACGCATCCCTAAGTTCCGTCGAAATCCTCAGCCGTGTTTAGTTTCGGTCACGCGTTACGCAACCGAAACTAAACATAGCCTGTGTACATCCGTTTCTCACCCCTCAAAAAATCGGGGAGATTTTTTGAGGGGTGAGAAACGGATGTACACAGGCTAAACTAAACACGGTTGCGAGGACACTTCATAAGAATGGAAGTGTTGGAAACGTTTCGTGAAAAATACTCCCAAACATTTGAGAGGGGCTATAAGGCCAGTCACACATTCGTCGACTTTATGGAAGTGAATTTGCATTGAATGTTCGTAATTCGTTTTACATTTTTTATATTTTATATATCGTTTTACACGTGACTGCTGGTTGCATGATTGGCTGATTGAATGATTGATTGGCTGATTGATTGATTGATCAATAGATTGGTGATTGTCATATTAATTAAACAGTTCAAAAAACAAAATAAAAAGGTATATTATAACCTATTAAGGTATGTATAGTATAAAAAAAAACACAAAATCAAAGATTTTTGACAATTCGATTCTGTATCCCTTCCCCGGCAATGATAATGCAGCTTCAAAAATGGAGATCAAATGTCACACAACGATATCCATTACATGGGTACACGCTGTAGCGCATCAATTGTGAATTGCGTTTATTATGTATCCAGGAAAAAGTCCTAAATATAAAATAAAATAAGAAAACAACCCATTTTTGATGTTTGTACCGGTATTAATCTACACTGTGTATCCCAAGTGGGTACGTTTCGTCTCTGTGCCGTGGTGCTGAGCGGATGTGGGTGACAAAGGAATTCATCGCTGACGAGGAACGGATACTTCTCTTCGCAAGTGTGAAAATCCCTCGCCCCTTTGGAGCCCATGTCATTGTGATTTTCGTTTCTCTGTCGCTTCGAGGACAAAATCAACATTACCCAAGTAATGTATTTAATTGGGGCCACGTTGGAGCAGTGATTTGATGTTCCCTTTTATAATCTCGTTATAAATGATCTTGTTCGCTCGAATGAAAATAAATCCTAACTGACGAATATGAGAAACCGTCGCCATATTTCATAAAGCACACGTCTTAACACGGTGTTTCTTGGGGCAATCAAAATCGCAATAAAATCATTTTAAACCACACGACCAAGCGAAACTGATATGTAGATGAACCATAGTTGACTTCCTTTGCGCTCAAGTTAATATTTAATGGCAGATTTCTTTATATTCAACCGAGCAAATGATTAACACAGGACCATGCAGGACATATATGTTTCATACATTATTCAAAGCCTGTCTGAACTGTCTTGTGGTCGCTACGCTCAGTTGAAACCTAACGAACCGTGTTCCGATAAGCACGAATGCGAACTTAACTTTGAAAGATCGTTAAAGAAAACAACGCACAAGAGCTGAGTTAAAGCCAGGATCAAGTGTATTTGTGTAGCATCGAGCCATGTTTGATCGCTTTGCGCCGCCGAATTGAATGTGATCTGAAATCTACACGATTCGAACGACTGATCACCAAAAGACCTGCTGTTGAATGGTTTCTTATTGTTTTGACGCGTGCGAGTCATTTTGGTGATAACAATACAGAATACGAGAGTCACAAGCAAACCTGGAAGGCTAAAGTGGAACGCCTCTTCTTTTTGAAAGACTCATAACACAACAATCCAAATGATGATTTTTTCCTCATTTGAGACTCTTTCAACATTTGAATGGTTTTTCAGCGCAGAAGAGAAAGTTCTAAATGTGAGAATTCCACCAAATGCTACTGCAATAATTTGGTGTAGGAGCTTTAACAATAACAAATACTAAATGTAATTTTTACAAGACTTAATCATTGACTCACCGGAGTAAATGATCACCTATAGAATCAGGGTTCAAGATTGGATTGTGTGATGCTGGTACAACCTCTTCGTTGTATTCATCTTTTGTGCTTTCTACATCGGAAGATCCACCACTATCCGACATGTATTGTTCTTCACGGACTACAGGTTCAAGCTTGCATGGAGGTTTTTCTTCGTAATTCTTCTGCTTTTCTTGTTGTTTTGCGAGGATTGAGTCAACGGTTTGAATAATGGCTTCCTTGGTGATACCACTGTCAAGCAAAGCAGTGATCAGTTGCTTCTGGAGGTCTGTGACTGGTCCAGCCATAATAACTGCACACTCTCATCCAGGAGACTTCTTGCAGAACTATTAACAACAGTAGTCAGCTGGGATACGACTCCATAGTGAGTATGCAAACAATACAGGTCAGCGACCTTTCGTCACCATGGGGGCGATCCCCACACTGATTACCGTGAAATTGAACAGTTGCTGTCACGTGCAATTGATACTTTTTGTTTCAATGGAAGTGTAATTTAGCATGTTTATGAAAGCCACCTTTTTTCAGCTTGTTTGGCCCTATTTCACATCCTTAAATTTTCATGAAAACTAGTCTATGTTTTAATGTTTTGGGTCACCTAAATATTTTAGATCAGCTTTCTAGAAATGAACAGCATTGATTTCAACAAGTTTCTTTTGTGGATTTATAACTGATGCTTGAATGCAGCTGAAAAGGATTTTTAATTCACACCTGGGAACATACATTTTTTGTTTGGAAACAGAGTCAAAACTACTTTATGAAATGATAGTAAACCAGAAAAGTCTATAAAACAATTTTGACTCTGCTTTAAACTATATTTTCCATTTCATTTCATTAAAAGATCATCTCATGCTCAATTGAACAATTTATTCTTTACTACAATGGTTACACCTAATTCACAAAAAATACCATTTTATGGACTTCATAAAATAATTCATGCAAATTTGCTGTTCCTTTATTTTTTCAGTTCAAAACTGAAGTTCTGAAGAGACAAGTATACAGACTGATGCATACTGTACCTGCCTACCTGAAACTGTCTGTCTGTCTGCCTTCCTAAAACTGCCTGATTAATACTTGTCTGCCTGAATTACACTGTCTGTCTGTCTGCCTGAAACTGTCTGCCTGCCTACCAAGTATCAGCATCTATTTGTCTTCTTCAAAACTACTCATTTTCAGTAACAGCAATGGTCAAAAATTATCAATGATATAGGTTTTTTTCAGCTACAACAAAATCTGATTAAAATTAATTAATACACTTAATTGATTTAAAATTAATTACTAGACTTGATGGACTAATTAAATTTCATGTGTCCAGTAGTGAAAAGAAGTTTCTTTTTTGGTTTCTTCTTGTGCTTTCCACCACCAACTTTCCCAATAGATTGACCTGCACCTAAGAAAATAAATACTTTAATTATTAATATTTGATTATTTCAAGTGCAATTTAAAGCTGACATTTGTGTATTTTTTGGCTTGAAGTTTAACCACCCCCACTCCAACCCTTCAATACAAGTTGTTTGCCAAGCACATGAACAGGTATCCTCAGGTTGCCTCTTACAGGACAAGAAACCCTTGCTATTACATGGTATGGTTTAATGTTAGTTCTCAAGACTCCAATCATTCAAGAAGCCCTACACATAAAATATTCGAGTTGCACCCACCAGAGTTGAGATGATTGTCCAGACTTTCAGAGATAGCAACAGAGAGGGCATCAGAGAAAGTAGATTGATAGGTGGGTGGTGGGACGTAATCTTCATCACTATCATAACCATTGCCAGTCTTTGGAATGTCTCGTGCTGAAGTACAGGGGAAAAAATGATTATACTCTTATATGTATGCAATCAATAGACTGAAATATCTCAATATTTTATGAAACAATATCTAGCAACATCTGAATTATTCCGTTCGGTTGAAGTTTTAAGGTAAGAATGTACAATTAGCATAATTATGATGTCCCTTGAAAATACAATTTTGGTCCTTGAAATGTCCTTGAAAAGTCCTTAAATTTCGTTTTTGATACTCTGCAATGACCCTGAATCATGCCTAAAACATCTTATTACCTTCCTCCTGTTGCTGTCTTTTGATAGGTTTAGAAAATTCCATTGCTTTGCCTGCCCTTAATGCCTATAACATAGTAGCCTCGATTAATACAAATGGACATTGTGCCTTAATGACCTAAATCTTTAAAATTCATGTTTAACAAGAAATGACCACTAAACACCATCAATATTTTTGAATCCTCAAAGAAACTATTGACATGAAACCAAAAAACTCAAAATGGTACAATTATGAGTTGGATGATTAGTAACCTTAATGAACTTTTTAGTAACTACTTCAGCAATAGATATCTTACTTGTGCAAATGAAGGTGGAGACATCCCACTTGCTTCAAGACCCACAGGTTCAACAACACTTTCTTCTGAGAAAAAAAGATATGTTTATGAACATAAAACGATAAATCGCTTTCAGACTGACTGCACTCATTTTTAGCTAAGAAATGATAAATTGAAATAATTATTAATTTCCATCTTGCAATAAATATGTATTGCAGTTTAAGAAATATCCATTTAATGCATACATACCTGCATCATTAAAGACAGTAGTAGCATCAGTAAACTGTGCAAAAGGACCAGGTTTATGTCCTAATGGTGACATAGCCATTGCCAAGGCCGACTGTTTAGGAAAGTCAACATCACTGTTGAGGTTTAGTTCTTCTGCAGCCTGACGCATTGAAATAACTGCATGAGAAATAACCATAATTTGTTAAAGTACACTGCTGTGAGTTTCTCATCACAAGAAAGTGACCATTTAATTGTGCTAGTCGATAAAGAACAAAAGAAAACAAAACTTTTGAAGAAAAATAATATTTGCAATATGCTAAAAAGATAATAATATCCCAAGAGTAGTAGTAAATGGGTAGTGCTTTGCACACTTACCAGGTCTGCCATCAATGGATGCCATCTTAGCATCTACTTTTAACTCCCTTCTTTTCTCAACTTTAATCTTTTTCTGTCTCCTTTGCTTTCTCTTCTGAATTTCAACTAGATGTATAATTATAATTCTATGTTAATGAAGTATAACAATTAAGAACTAAGATCTCCATATAGTAAGTAACAAATTAAAGGAAATTAAAACAAGAAGAATTTCTGAATATGAAGTATTGCACATGTATAGATCTAAATACAGGTTGTACTTGATTGTGTAAGTTTGAAAGCCAAAAATCAAAAGTTTCATATATCTACACACAAAAGGACTTACATAGTCACAAATAATACATATTACTTATACCGTGCTGTCAATCATGTTGATAACTGACCTCTAAAAATGTCCAAAGTATCAGAAGAAACAACTGGGGGTTTTAACTCCAGCTCACAGATGACAAACTCACAAGTCAGTGGTAAGTGGTTTAGATAACGATAACGTTTTCTTGTTTCCTGTAAACAAAAACAAATTATAAGTATTAAAATAACTTTGTCAATAAAAGGTGTAAAATAAGTAGCAAAATAATCAATAATACAAGGTAATTATAAGACACTTAGGTATTGATTGAAAGTACCTCTGTCTGGGACATGGCTTCAAGTTCCAGAATGCTTGCAGAAATGCATTCTGGGCATTTTTCAAGGCTCCCATACTCCTGTGATGTAAAATGATTACAAGATTCAAGTCATACTGCATTGAATTGTCAGAGAATAAAAAGAGCCTTACCTTGATTAAGCATCTTGCATTGATAGGATGAAGGAAGATATTTTGACCATCATCAGCTGAAAAGAAATTATACCTTGATTGTTCACCCGTTCTCTTATCTGTCATTTACTACCATTAAACTTTTATTTATTTGTTTGATCAATAAATCACTGATTTGCATATTCATGCATCAATCACTTATTGAGAAAATTCACTAAACCAGTCCTTTCGTCAACCATACATCCTTCTATTTACTCCATGAATCTTTATAGATTCCTTTAGTCATTTTATTTATCAACTGCCACATTGATACAATATTTCTTTTTCTTTCAGTCAGTCATTCATTTTCCTACCCATTTACTGAATCTTTGATGTATGTTCATTTTATCCCTCTCTTTTTCAGCAAGTAAAATAATACTATTGTTCTACTAATTCAGTTTATATATTTATATTAACCTTGATAGAAGTAACTGTAAGTTTGATCTTGGTTTGAATCAAAAGAGCCCTTCTTTTCTGGAATGTTAGTATCACTGCTTGCAAAATCGCATTTTGAGGGAGCCACTTCAGTCTCTTGGGTGATCTCTTGAGAAGTGTTTTCACTGTCACAACTTTGTTGAGAGTTTGATCTTTCTTTGGAGTTGATTTCGTTGGTAATGGAGCCATTTCTATAGCCATTACTTTCAGCTACACTTTCATCGTCTGAAAATGCTGCTTCAAACTCAACACCCTGATAAAGAAAACATTGAATATATTCGTACATAATAAAATACTTGGCAGCGTGTCTAAGAATAATTTATTATTATTATTATCATTAGGCACTAACCTGGTTGTCAGGGTTATCTGGTCTGTAAACATTCCATCCAGGATTTTCATCTTGATTGTCATCACTACTTCCTTCATCTGAAGATGGTGGGGTCAGTCCTATGTAAGAATAGTGAATTTTAAGATATCATTGCTGAAATAAATAAATACTGAACAATTAACTTACTTTCCAATGATTCACAGACTTCTTCAACTGTCTTCTGCTCCCCCTGCAAACCATCTTTTCTGACCTTTTTCAAGAAGAAAATCCAATATTTACACATATGAAATAGCTAATTAATACAATGATAGGAATAATTATTACCTTCAACTCAGTTTGTGCAGATTCAATGAAACAAACTTCTGAGGACTGAAGATTTAAGAATTGTAATACCATATTAATTTGCTCTTCATAATATAATTGTTGGTGTTTAATGCTCTGATGAAAAGACTGATGATAAATGATGATGAATATTGTCATGAAACAGATAATAGTAGTGGATATTCTGATCATTGTAATGATGGCATCATTTCTAGTACTGACTGTGACAATAATCAATAAATCGAATAAAAGTAATTACATGACTACTGTGATACTTATTATCTAACCATTTACCTGTTCTAGTTTGGCTTCTGCAAGTTGAGCATTCAAAGCAGTTTCCTCTTGTTCTATTATCTAGAGATATCACAAGCAAATATTAAAACCACTAATCATATTGGAGATCAACTGCACAGCCATTAATCATTTCATACCTCCTTGAGGACATCATTAGGTGAAGCTAACAAAAGCTTGGAGTAACACTTGTTGACCGAGTCTATTTTATAAAGAAGACATTATTAGTGTATTAAGTCAAGTAAATGTTCATACAAGTTTGCATATGATCATTCATAATGATCTCAGTGATCATGAGTGATCCTTCATTAATCTATGATCTAACCATTACAAGGGATCATTCAGAAACCGAGGTTCAGCGCAAAATAAGCCACATTGGAGTAAAAAATGTACACTGTACAAATTTTTAAAATGATACAAGCTCACTATAATGTTTGACTATTATATATTATTTGAAAGCTCTTATCTATCTATTTTTTTCAATCCAACATTCTATTCTTGAACCTGGATGTTTCTCATATCACCATCACCAAGTTATTTTCAGTACTAACCATTGATGTTGAAAGGCTTCATTTCTCTTTCCTGCCACTGAGATACAGGCAAAGCCTGTGTTGTGTTCTATGATGGAAATATGACAGAGTGAGCACAATTATAATAATGAATACCATGGTTTATTTATACCACTTTACCTTTACTTTCTTCATGAGTTTCATTGTTATGGTCTGGCCTACATTAAAATGATGACTCTCCATTGCAACAACACTAAATAAAACAAAAACCAAAAAAAAAACTGCATAAATGTTTGTTGTAGGAATGGATGGGAAAATGAATGAAAAAATGGGAAGATAAAGGGATGAGAAGTACCTTTTCAAGTCCTGTTTAATGATAGATTCAAAGCAAATTGGGCACTTTCCCCATGAGTTTTCACTCTAAAAAAAATAAAAAAGTTAGAGAAATGGAATATGAATGTGTTTTTTTAGGTTTTTTTTGTAACTTACAAGAGACAGGTAATGAAGTATGCATGACCAGCAATACACATGTCCACAGCGTGTGATCTTTGCTAAAAATTAATATTGCAAATATGCCATTATTTTGCTTGCATTTCTAAATACTAGTATGCAATAAAGAAGAATAATGCAAAATGGAATAGAATTCATCTCTAATACATGTAATATACCTGCTTTTGGTGGATATAGACATATGGGACATGAAGGAACTTCATGACTGAAAATTCGCTATATAAAACAAAATATATGAATACATCTGTTAGTATATAATAAATAATACCAAATTGGCTTCCAAGGAAATAAGGAAATTAATAATTTGGTTTCCCGAGTACTTACAACTTGCTCAACGAGAGACCAGTCCACTAGAAGATCAGGATCAATACCATAGACAGTATAGTCTGCAGTATCATTCACTACAAACTGGCAACTAATTAAAAAAAATACAGAACATTTTATTACTCGGGGTTCCTGTGGAACCCAGAGTTTAAATTTCGGGCTTCTTATTTTTATTTTTCGTCGCTTATCAGTCACAAATTGTCCACAGGTAGCCCAAGCTCATAATCAATTCTAAAAATGCTATTTAGAGACCAAATTAGCGAAATATTATTATTGTCCTCGATAGAACATCTAAATGAAAGTATTATTGCGAAATTTTGAGCCAAAATAATGCTTTTTAACAGAAATACGAGCAAAACGAAAATTGGTAAGAATGTATGGCATTATCACGGCTCAATGCGTTTTAGACAGGTCATGAAATAACTGTGTTTTAAGATCTAAATGAATTTTTCATGTTCATGGCCAAAAACAGCATATAATTCCCAACAATTATGCAAAGTTAAGTCAAAGTGCGATTTTTTAGCAAAAATATAAGCGTTTGAATATGGTCTTACTTTACAAGGGAATGTAAGGGAAAGCCTTGGTGTACTATCCAGTATACAACCACGCGGACAGTAACTCCGAGTGTCGAAATAAGCTCAAAAGTAATGATTTTGCTTCAGTTTTCTAACAATGTCATTCTAAAAATTTAATTTAATGCTGAGACTATAGTTGCTTTAAGATTTATAGGCTTTCCGAGGTTAATTTGGCGTGTTTCAAGTAGCTTGACAGCATTGCGTGACATATTTGTGAACGTTAATAACTCAACGAATAAACAGCAAAAATAGTTGAAACTTTCAGAGAGAACTTCTATTATGCTCTTCAAGGTATTTTAGTACTTTAATGTTGTGTGTCTGTGATTTTAGAATTTTTTTCGACTGATGACTTCATGTGCAAACCGATGAGAATTAAGTCGGCGAGACTATAATACGCGAGGTGGAAGAAGACAGAAATTCAACGTCTACAAATACGCTCAAATCACTTAAAAATATCCACACTTTCGTGGCATAGCCACACTAAAATATGACCAGCGTTTTTCCGAAAAAGGAATTTCAGAAGATAACGTAAATTTATCGAGAATTTATCTTAATGTCAATCGAGATCGAGTCTATCGAGAATTGTCTATCAAACAAGCTACCTATCTTAGCACAAGCGAACCGTATACGAACTTATGCAGGCTCTGAAACTACTAAGGTCTCGTCTAAGGAATGCAAACAGATTCTTCTGAGGAAAAGCCGACGAATGGAAGAGCGGAGAAGATAAAAGACTCTGTGTTTACAGCCTGTCATGTGACTATCAAAGACCGGCTTGCTGATGATCAATTTTTTCATGATATTTATGCTGAGTACACTGTTTTTTTATTATTTTTTATTCCAGGAAGTATTTTTTGCTTTACGCCTTTTGATAGTATGACTATTAACTTTATTAGGTTCAATATAGTCCAATTCTTCTCAATTCTTCGACTACAACACTCATTGTTGTCACTTCATCGTTTTATGATATATTCAAGCAGAACCCCGAGTTCACGCAGCTATGCGTCTAGTTAATGGAAAGTTGTTGTTGAAATAATAATATGTTTTGCTTACTTGGCCTGCAAGAAACGTTCCTTGTTAAAGTTGTGTCTTTTGCCAGTAAACTTTACACGCTGGTTGTAGCTCCTCTCTCTTGGAGCATACTTGAAATTCAACAGAGAGTTCAAGGAATTGGTGAACTTCTTGGAGCCTGAAGGTCCTTTTTCTGTAGGGCTATTCACTGGAACATCAACTTCTCCAGCCTGAAGATAAAAATATAGTATAATTTACAAATTGTGTATATTGTGAAGGTCCTAAAATTCATATATATATGAATTTTAATAATAAAATTAATAATAAAATATCTGGACCTTTTTCTTATGTTGTTTTCAGTGTTGCTATGTTATTTCTTCTCCATGCGTTACCACACTTACATTGTTATTTCTGCTGACAGTGCTTTGGTAGTCTCCTCTCTGGCCTGGCCTTTTAACATACCGTTGGTACTGAGAGCTACTTCGTTGAGGGTAGCCTTGTTTTTCAGGGTAATACTGCTTGTTTGATCTTTTGGCTCCACCTCTCCATTGTTTACCCTTTGGTACTATGTACATGTATGTGATAAAACAGATTATCAACAAATATATGAACATAAAAATATTTATTATTAAATACAAATATATAATAATCTAATCTATGGAAAACTTTATTGATTTTTTGTGTGTGGCATCTTAAATAGTAGCCATTTTCATACAAACTTCTAATTATGTACAAACAGGAAAGTTTATGTACACTTCAAATATTTTGAAAGTCCTAACCGCTTTTCCACTCGTAAAAGGAGTGCGGAGAGAAGAATATCCGAAAGATATGGAAGCAATGAACATGAATAATTGAAAGCCAAAAAGACACTGAAGTGAAATACCTGTTTCTTTGCTAGAACTACTTCTCGGAGATGGCGAAGCGGGGACAACTCCTTGCGTTGTTCGTCGCTCCATTTGACCGTTCCTCTCCTCGCTCATCCACAACAATACACTCAGTACAAGACTGAGTTTTTTGAAATAAAACGTTAAACCAACTGGAGTTCACTCCAAGTGGAGAAGAGACTTTGTTTGTAAGCTTATTGAACATGGCGAGCAGACTTAAAAAGTGAAGAAAGCCATACTTGCACAAATCTGGTTAAAATTCTTGAGATTTTGTCGCAGAAATAAAGTGAAAGAGAGAAGAAATAAATGTAAAAAATGACACCAAACTACAAGGAACACTTGTCCCTTGTAAAACTCCCCTTGTGTCCCAACTGGGACGCCTTCAAGACGCGAAATTTGCGAGATAAATTTACTTTTGGCTGCTGTTTCAGCGCCAAAATGGAGGAATGAGTGAATAAGCAGGTGAAGTCACGTGGTAAAACAGTAGCCTGGGTACGAAAACTACTGAAGGAGTAACGCCTGGTCATTTTTAGCAAAACTTGGCAAATTTTTGTTTTTCATTATACGGTTTCTTAGAAACATTAAATTTTCGCTTTGAACGCCAGCAGTTATACGCGTACGTAATTTTGAACACGTCAAGGGTAAGATGTAAACATCAAATGAGCTAGAATCTTTCAGTATTTCATATTTCTTCATGCTCAGAATCCAGCAATAATGGACGAAGATTTGAACGATCTACAAGTGAAGACGAAAGAAGACAACATTCAAGTCTTAAACTATACTGATGGAGAGACGATTGATTATCCCTTCGTGCTTCTAGAATGTGAAATAAGAAAGCCTGTGTTGTCTGAACACAGTCTTGTAGATAATTTAGCATCGGAAGACTTTGAGAATGAAACTGTACAACGCGATTTTGTTCTTGTAAATACCGAGATTGAGTGTAGAAGCTGGCCAGTGGTTGATGGAGGTTTTAAAGCGCTCTTGCAACTAAATACTGGAGACAATTTGATTAGATTTAAGGCTTGGGTTAGTGGACTATTCATGGAGGAGGATTTTAAGTTAACATACACACCTTCATCCCTGACAAGGTTTGATATAGGTTCTTTATTGATTTGAAAATATGACACAGTGTATAAAGAAATTCATGTTTGATCTGTTGACAGTATAAAATGTTGATATTTTTATGTATATTCATACTAACTGTTTAATTGGTGGATTTCAATTTAAAATGCAATTATATAATAATTATAAAGAAGATGACTTATTTTTTAGTGTGGTACTATATTAGATTGTAGCCGCCATGTTGGATGGAAATAACAACATTCATCATTTACTTCTCTTGCTCAATCATTCAGCTTTGCCATAATAACATTGTTTCATATTTTCTAGGAAAGTTTTGGTCATATGGTTACAAAACCAGGAATGAATTTAGTTCAGTTCTATGCTAACACATATATGTAATGTAAAACACAAATTTATATCATTGAACCCATTTCAGGTTTGTACGTGTTGTCTACATCAAGTGTTCTGATTCAGAAGGAAGTTTTCAAGCACCAAATGGAGTTGTCAATGATGTTGACATGGCAACTAAAAAGCTTGCTTTCAACGCTCGTCTCTTACAGACTTTCACAGCTCAAGACATGCATCGTCATGGCTTTGGCCATAGGACATTCAGACTTGAAGAGGATTGTATGGGAAAACCAGTGATAAACATATTCACAAGCTCATTAACATCAGTTGATGCTTTAAAAATGACTGGGGGACAGCTTTATGACAAGTTCTCATTAGGTACGTCATAACATTGAGGGAATGCATTGGTTATTGCTAAATGTTTTGCATAAGTCTTACACATTTTCTGATGTTATATTTATTTACTTTCAGAGCTCTCAAAGTCAAATCTCAACGACCCATTATGCAAGTTTTGGACATTCATGAGCTTCACACACTATGATCCCCCTGCGGCTGATTTATTCAACGACAAGGACATCCATCTGTATGTTAAGGGACATACTGCTTTAGGTGGTGGTCAACTTGCCTTATTTGGTACTGGGAACCTCCATACATGGGCATCAGAGACTGATGAGCTTATGTCATGTTTTACAAATACTAAGATGATTGACAGGAGATATCTTTTTGATGATAGTTCAAGAAGGTATAGCATCATTGTACTAGAAGAGGCATATAACCCCCAAAATAGATACCCTTTATTTACTATATGACTGATATAATACCAGACCTATCTCAGATGTTAAATAAAGATCATGTATTTGTTAGGGTGGATTTCATATGAATGTGTACAGGCACGGATCATGACACAGTACAGTCATAGGATCTAGTCTGGTAGTGAAATGAAAATACTGTTTCAAGAGCACATACCCCACAGCACATTACTGTCGTGTCGTGCTTTTTGCTAAACGTGTGTTAATGAAAACATTTGCCTTTTTTCTTCATTTCAGGTATTGAAAAACTCCCCTGCCTGAAGGAATGGGGGAATGGTAGCATTCCCTAAATAAATAATCTCCTCTCGCAGCCGTTACAAGGCTTGTTTCCAGGTCACTCTCACCTAACAGTGTTTTGGTGAGAGACCTGGGAGAGAGAGGACTATAAATAAATGTCCTTCCCTAAAAAATATTATTTGCATGCTAAAATTGTTGTATTTGTTTGAAAATTATTTTTTTTTTCATCAGGGGATCATACTGGGCTAACTATGCAACTGGTCTGGGTGCATCTATGCATGAGTTAGGCCATTGCTTTGACTTGGCTCACACCCCTAATGGCATCATGGGTAGAGGGTTTGACGATTTCAATTGTGTATTTTCACTATGGAAAAATCCACCTCCATTACATTGTAAACAAGAATGCAACTCAAAGACCATTGAAGAGTCTAAAGGTAGAACATTATGATGTGAAGCAACTAGAAAATATATATGTTTAATTTCTCACTAAATTCAATTTAACTATTTGTTGTTTTTTTTTATGATCATGGTCCAGTATGCTGTATCATTTGTTGTTGACATAACTCCTATTTTGCTGTATTTATTTATTCCTGGCATTGTTTAGATATTTCCTCCAATGAAGTTTCAATGGCAGCAGATAACGACATCGATACGCAAGAAAATGCCCACCATGTGGCAAAAGGTTTGGTCCAAAGATCAGATTATCGCGATGAGCACGATATATCACATGGCAGGGAGCTTGCCCATTGGATAAATGACAAAACTAACCTGGCAAGACCTGGAGACTGGTCACATGGTGCAAAGTGGTATCGTTCCTCTGCTGTAATATTACGTTATCACAAGTAAGTAATGCAGACATGACTTCATTGACGCAAATATTTCTATTTCTTTCTACTGGTATAAATTGATTCCATTCACTCATGCGGTAGTACCACTGATAGTACCACCATCAGTTACCGTCAAAATCAACTAATACCCGCGTAAAAGGTTGGGCTCTTTTTATTTTTGGAGTTGATTTTCTTTTGGCTTGAAATCATAAATTGCTCAAATTACGCAAATTAGCTAAAACGTAAACATTGGCACCAACCAACGGACAGACGAACATCTACTCAGAGAACACGTAAGAAAGTAGCTGGGATTCCCAGTCAACAGTACCAGCACCTCTATTATCCAAATGCGTAAGTACAGACGGACAATTCCAACACGTTCACTGAGCGAACGCAAGAAAATACTCGCATTCATTGGGAAAACGTAAGCATGGACGTACGTACAGTTCGATATCACTCACTACGACACCGGCATCCTTTGCAAATACATATAGGAACTGAAAAAATACTCGCTAGGTAGCTTTTGGTGACATGAGGGGCAGCCAGGACGTCTGTAGTAGTGTGTATAGAGGTGACTGGACACCTGGTCCCTGGTGGCAGGTAAGGTGATTGAACTAAACTGACTAAAAGAAGGCGGATTAGACGTTTAGACAAGATGTGCTGGGAGGAAGTTCTAGACTCTTACTGTTTGGAAAAGGAGAACATGTAGGCCAGAATATTCGAACGCAGTTGCTGGTAGGTTATTAGATGTCTACGGGTGCTTGTTGTATTTTGAGTGGAAGACAACCAGCAGGTTGTTTACAGCCAATCAGCTGTCAATCAGCCAATCAGCTGGTAGTGAAATCTGTAGACTGAAAAAACGAAACGCCCGCACTTGAGAGTATCAGTCCAACCCAAAGATTGTGACAGCTTAATAGAATAACGAAACACGATTCATTCAAACTTATTCACCCTGATTCAAACGAGTTAACCTTGATTCAAACCAGTTCCAAATCATTCTTTCAGGTGGTTCTGTAATGGCGAGGAATCAGACCACGAAGTCATGAATCAGCCAATAGTTCAATGGAGTCGGGATTTTTTTGGTCCAGTTGGTAATATTTCTGACAGTTATCATTGCAACAGAACGTCTTTTAATGATAAAACATGGCTAGGTGATAACAATGCAGTATTATGTGGTTATGTTATCCACGCTGAAGAGTACGTTAATAGTATACAGACCATTGGTCGCGTATTGGAACCTGATGGCTGTAAGTAATCTGTACTTCCCGCGTCACCATCCAATACCAGGCATATTCTTCTTGTTATAGCTTTGTAGCTACAGCGCATTATTATCTGACGGATCGGTTTTGATTGTTATTCATAGGGCTGTATACCTCATATTTCCCTGACATTATGTATTTCTAACTCGTTGTTCCTACTGTCATTCCGACTCGTTGTTACTCTTCTCATTCTAACTCGTTGTTACTAATCTCATACTAACTCGGTGTTACTACTCTAATGCTAACTCGTTGTTACTATTCTCATTTTCTAACTCCGTCGTTGTTACTACTCATAACTCGCTGTCACTACTCTCATTCTAACTCTTTGTTACTACTCTCAGTTGAAAAAGCCAAGGAGATTTTCTCTGAGCCTCAAGGACAAGTATTTGGACGGAAATACGTCTTCAAGATGTGCGAACCCGACGAAGAGGTGACAGCCATTGACGTGCGCGCCGGAGCTTGGATCGACGCCATAAGAATTCACACAAATTACAAGTCGTCCGTCCTCATGGGGGGAGGGGGTGGTTGTTTTAACCACTTCAAGCCAGCCGAAGAACAGAGAATCGCGGGAATGTTTGGCTGTGCTGGAGAGTTTGTAGGCTCTATTGGGATATTTCTGGAAAGGTAAATTGATGTGAGCATGGATTCAATATAGTTTTAAAAAAATAAGAGACGTCCTAGTTTTGAGTTATTCCTTTGGTTACCATAAGTCCATGACGGGCGTAGTTACCAAGTCAGTCATTGGTTATTGTGTTTCCGAATAGTGGACGCGGGACGGACACCATCCACTACATATGATGTGTTGACTGTTTATATATTTTGTAGCCATGGTAACGCAGCGTCATCTACCATTGAGCCCACACCAGATGAACACCTTATCATCTCTGCTGCAAATGGACTCCGTCTCATCGAGCTGCACGACAAGAAACATGGCGAGGTTTATGAACACTGGGAATTCCTGGAATCTCCACCTCCGACGCAATTCATCCTCAACAAAGCTGACATCATGGCACAAGAAGCGAGAATCGTCATAATGGATGACAATGGAAATATGCACTCGTCTGGTCCGTTTGGCGGCTTGGAAAAGATGTTTTCGACAATAGCTGCTAAAATGAATGAAATTCAAACGACGGACACACAAATCATGGACACAAAACCACCAGAACATGAAGAAACAAAAAGCTATGAGAAGAGTAAGGATGAAGTGGAAACAAGAGACAGTTCTGAGAGTGAAGTAAACCTTATAACCGAAGAATGTTGCGGTGAAGTGTCAGAAATTATTAAAGATACACGCGCACCAGCAGAGCAAAGTAAAGAAAATGAAAGCGTGATGATAGAGGACAAGAACAAGTTACGTGAAACCTTTGATAAGGACGATTATGAAAAGCTCCAGCAACAGACCTACTTTCGTCAGTCTGCAAAGCAGAAAGACGAGACGGTGACCAGATATTACTAACATAGCGCTAATCACAAAAACTAAAATAAGACAAAAATATTATTTATTAAGGGTTGTTTATTTCTAGCTCGGCAAATGGCAAATCACTGTGTTTATAATAGAAAGTGCACAATTTCTTTCCATGGAAAATTTATAGTAAAAAATAAACATTAATGTAGGTTTGAATGACTTGTTGCTTTAAAGGCCCACCAGCATCCAAGAGCCTTTGCGCGATTTTCTCACATACGAAAATTCGCCGTCTTTGAATTTGAACCAATGAGGAAGTAAGTTTCAAATTGCGAAACAAGACGAGCGCAAATTAAGGTTCTTGGACGACGCGACCTTTTAATTAAAACGTCAGGTCAGTCCAAACTCTATTGCTTTGGAGTGATGGAATATAAGGCTTTAATAGGTCATAAAAGAGCCCAAAGTACTGATTCGAAACCCATTCCATTCACCTTGATAACACTACGGTGTTGTTATTATACCGAGTACCAGACGATGTTTTACGTGTTACCCCCACGAGGTTTGACCACGGACACCACACTCGATTTTTTACCGTCCTATACGGTATTTTATCACGATGTTTTACCCGGCGGTAGTATAAAACAAGATTTTTTCCCCCAACAGTTTTGTACCGCAACATGTTTCACTGACTTATACGGTGTTTTTTCACAATACGATGTTTTTAACCCACGGTGTTTTACCACACGCTAGAGCACGTCGGGTTACACGAAAATGATCCACAGTCTACATGATAGTGAAAGTCTGTACGACCAAAGCACCAATTACTGATTGCCTGTGCTATACTGACTTCATTTATGTACACATCTGTCCATGTATCATCATAGAGACTTTGTGAATGCTCCATACATGACGTCAGATACAATCCCGAATCACGTGACCTTATTACTGGTGCGAGAGCGCGAAGAGTCAAATTTCTAAATTCTAGCATGTCGGCGAGTTCTCTTTCGGTACACTCTGGTGGTTTACAGTAGATACCGTGGATATGTTTATATGCCCAGGATTTGTGCCGTGCTTGGTTTTCAGAGCTGCGCTTTGTAACATGGGATCGTTTTTCTGTGAAAAAATCAAAATTTGGTACCTGGCAGTTAATTCCCCGTATGTGGATCATTTGCCAGGCGTCGAAGGCTGATTGAAGGATGAATATAGGTGTGTGGAGAAACCTTAAAGTATGTTGAGGAAACAAACATTTCCACCGATATCGCGGGACCGCTGATCGTACACATTCCTCATTGATGCCAATCGCTGAGTTGTGAACATCAAACATTTTCTTAAAATGCCTATTAACGATGTTGCCTCCATCGACTGAAGGTACATCGACAAAGTATCCCGAGTCCGAGACAGCGCGAACATCGGTCGAAGAAGGCAGCAAACTTCGGATAAAATCGGAGTGAATTATCACAGCTAATCCACCCGCAGAAGTGCCAGTTAACAAAACCCTCCGCGCGTTTCGAAAATCACTCTGCATAAGTTCTTCAAAAATGACTTCTAAAATTCTTCGTCCTCGCAAGTAAATATATTCGCCGTTTACTCGGACGGGTTCTCGACGATATCCCGAAAAAGAGGCGCCATCACAGTAACACATCATCACTAGATTCCAATTGTAAAAGTCTGGGTTCGTTTTGGGATTACTAGACAAAATGCCTTGAAGTTTAGGTGGGTGCGGAGGGAAAAACGTCGAGGATCCAAGCACAGTCTTACTTCTTTGTAAGCAAGCCTTTTCATCAAAGCACCATGCTCCACCAAAGAAGTGTATGATCCAGTTTCCTACCCCCTTGCCAAATCCTGCTCTATAGTAATATCCAGGGGGAGACCCATCAAGGCAAACTGCTCCCTTTTTAGCTGCATAAGGCAATAGAATTAATTTCGCTTCTGTAGCATATGAACGTTTAACCCGTTCTTCGGTTGTTTCCGACTGCGTTCCGACAGAGTCCGACGTTGGCACGTTGTTATTCGTAAGATAAATGTTTATAAAAGCAGTGTTTCGAAGAAGGAATGAAATAACAATAATTGTGATAAAACTGCCTAAACAACTTGAGAATATCATAGTTTTGATCTGTCCTTGAGTTGTATAATTCTTTGGAATAACAGCTGCAGATCGTTCTCCTGAGGCCATGTTTTATGTAGTCTTTAGTTATTCGTCTTTTACTTCATGAATTGTCGTCAAAACACAATTAACTCCAGCATCCACACCATTCTCATATTAACCGGCAGTATTGACCAAATATTTTTGTCAGTAAAGTAAATATTTTCATCGCTTGATAAACACGAAGATGACGAGTAGAAAATTCTCTTCTTATTCGACAATCTTCGATGAATGTGGMATTTTTCCCTGTTGAAAATCCATCTTAACAGCTTAAAAGGCTTTCCAGTTTAGGATCAAAACGTTGATTTTTCTTCAATGGAATTCTTATCTCTCCAAAATCTTGACGTGTTCAGCAGGTAGTTCGGGGAGCGAATCCGTGACGTCACAAAGTCTTCCAAGAGAGAATTWCCACAGTACCGGGCGTACGTTATTTGAACGGAGAATATTTCTTTTAAGAAATAAAGTATGGATTACCGTGGAATAGATGAAATATAGCGCCTGGAGATGTTGATAACAACAAGAAGTGGTCATAAACGGAAAATACATTTTTGGCSTCTTTTGCGCTCGCGGACAGCTCGGACACCGGCTTATGTAGGCCGAAAAAAGTCTATTACACGAAAAATTAAACTTTGTGGTAACGAAAAAATTTAATCATTCAGTCCAATTTCCATTCTATATCAACAAGAATTGTGCCATAGTCATCAATTCATAATAATTTTACATAACGATATATCATATATCTGATAATATAATCCTAACATTTCTGTTTTACTACACTTCCTCCATGCGTAAATAGCGCTACAAAAAATAACTTATCCTAAYACTACAACATGCTTTTGCACACAACAATTTAGCACACTCATGAATCGCAATTGAACAGTCAGTTTATCTCAACTAGGTAAACACAACTTTTTTTCGATGATTTGCCACACAATACTTTCTTATTAGTCATCATTTCTGACGCATATCTTAGGCAAATTTCTTCTTCGATCTCCTTGGCTTTGATTCAGTGTTTGAAGCGTCTCTTTTTTCATTGGGTGCAGCTGCGCCACCTCTGTCACTCGTACTATTTTTCACATTTCTTTCCCTCCTTGGCTGGCTTGGWGGTCGGTCATTGCGACTGCTGCCATTACTTGACAGCGGTTTAACATCAAAACATGGCGCAAGTTCGCTTTTCTTCACTGAATTTGGARAGCCTTTCTTTTTTGTCGAGGTTTTTGATGCCGTGCTTTTGTTTTTGTCAGATCGTGGAGCAAGTGGTTCACGCTTTGAGGAGCGATGATGCGGCGAAAAGTCAGCCGGTTTCCCCTGATCAAAGAAATAAAATAAACTGGTCAAACGTCGTGCGCATCATAAGCTGTATTCAAATTATAATATCATTTAAGTAAGATTTTCCGACAAGTGCCACACATCAGCTTAAAAATAAATTGAGCTTTTGGATCGACGAATTTAGGACGTTTGACACTGGGCTAGGTCTTCTTTTGATGCGAATAATAGGGGTTCAAAACAAAGAAAGGGAAAAAAGGTAAAAGAAAGAAAAAATAATTCTGTCTAAATTGTCCTAAAAAAGGTCCTAAAATGGTTCAATTGTCAAGCCGAGAACACTCATATTCAACATATTCAACAGCAAAAACAAACATACCAAGTTGCGTTTACTCTCTGCTTTGCTTCCATAACTTGGAGTCTTTGAACTCGCCATTTTTTCAATATGGTCTGCTTCTTGAGCTAAAGGATACCACTTTGTCCTCTCCGGGCCTGTAAATCCAGTTAGCTTTTCCCTAGATCCTGAACTACTACTCTTCCTTTGCAAAGCGTTTTCGTAATTAACTTTGTTTTCGTCTAACGCCAGCTCAGGCGATGAATACCTTWGCCCCTCCTTTTTTGAGTTTTTCATCGAATTCCTTTTAATAACGGTCAGCGGTGAGTCATTGGAGTATGCGCCTGTACCGTTTGTTTCACGTTTATCATTACGTTGCCATGGCGACTGTCTCCGTTGATCGCTTTTATCACTTCTCGCGATATAGGATCGATTATCATTTCTGACCGACGCACTTACAGTTGCAGGMCCCTTGTTCAGTGATTCATCAATAGTTTTGTCTTCCAGTCTCTTATTAACCACCGGCCTGCTAGGACGAGGTGGTATGTTCGAAACCCGGGGCCGAGCATTGTTTGACAAGTGTCGTTCAGGTTGACTCCCGTAGAAATGTTCTGTTTGTAAGACGGAAGAGGGTCGTGTTCTCTGAGGGTCACACATGCTCTGCAAACAATGAGACGTTTTACCCAAAGATAATTATGAGAAAAACTGATAAAACAAACACTTTAAACTGAAAATATAGATCAGATAATCTAGCTAGCTGTACTTGCAAACTGATTACATAAGTCGTGTGTCGTTTTCGCTCTTCGATTTTTCGATTTGTCGCTCCGCAAAACCCGTGAGCGAGAAAATTTACGAGCGTGAGTTATATGGAATCAGTCTGGCTGCAATTGGCGTTTGAGTTGGAAAATAAATAAGCGTACAAAACAATGACAATAAAACAACCAAACGTTTCTCAGCAAATCATAATTCGATAAAGAAACGCCCTGATAGATGTTACCAGGGTTACAAAGCCTACCTGGTGAGAGAAGAGAAAATCAGGGTGAATAGGKTCATCACAGAACTCACAGGGAAGTAACGTCTCATCATTGTCATCTGCAAAAAAACACATTCAAGATGAAACTAGTTTCTTAAATAATATCCATTTGTGATATTTTCAGTAACAAAGTAATGCCCTCCTATTACTGAAACAGCTAAGAATRCGTATGCGACTGCGTATGCAATCGCAAAATCCATGCCATTGACATTTAAATGGGATGGCAAATTGTAGTGAAAATATTATCTGTAAGTAAATTTATAATATTGTTTCATTTTCTTTTCATTAACATACTTCAACTTATGAAACTACATCATTTTCTCTTACCTGATTCAATAAGTCTTTGAAAGTCATCTTGAGGCTGAAAAATGAGTAAAAATAATAAATATACCAGYTCAAACGTTGAACCTCAAACGTACAAAATTCAATSCAAATTGCTCTTATTTYATGTTTCAGTTCATTAGTCTTGAGCTACCCGYAGGGCCCCRACTTTTGTTTTACCTTTTTGCCAATCTATCTATCTATCGATCGATTACGTCGCGTTTGAGAATGACACAGGAAACCCGACGATAAAAAGTTGATTGCTATGGCTKTTACCCATGGATGGAATCGCACAAGATAAGACTTACTATRATTTTTAACGATGTCTCGTATCTGAATGAAACAGACGTTTATGTTGCGAATATTTAAATTGAATGCAGAAAAAGGTGGAACAGTCTGGTGATCATCAATCAATAGGATAATYACYTCAATATAGCCTCAGTAAACATTCAAAGGGTGTCTTGTTATTATATGTGCATTGAGAAGGGTATTATTGAGATTCCATGCTGATTTACTGGTCTAATTCGTTTAATTAACGCGATTTTCTGATTTACTGGTCTAATTCGTTTAATTAACGCGATTATAAGTCAATCTTCTTACTTGGACTTCATCAGCTTATTTTTTACTCACACTTATTCAGTTAATCTTTGAACGTTTTCCTTTAGCGGCTTTTCAGTGCGTGAACTATTCAACCCGCTACCACCTACTCATCTATCTATCCAACTATCATCTACCTATCCATCCACTCATCTACCCAACCGTTCATTTATTTATTCATTCGTTCATTTACCAAACCATACATTCACCAATCAATGCATCCATTTACTTTTTTGCTCATCCATCCATTCATTCCTAGTTTCAGTTCTTCATTCATACATCCATTCGTTTAGCTTCAGCTTCCAAGATAATCAAATTAGGTTCATTATACTAACTGATTCACGATGCAATGGAGGAAGAGAGCGTGGTTGACTTCTAAGGTTAGGATATCCTCCACTGGATGGTGTATTTGATGCTCCCATGGTCGTTAGCTSACAACCTGTCTACAAAAACACAATATTCATTTATATTCAATATTTCAAAGTAATGAAGTTGTTCTTCAGCAGCATCGTGTTGTGCAATATCAAGTTGAAATTAGGCGATACGCTACTGCTGTGATGAGTTTACTTTCAAGCTTTCGACGGTCGCCGACATCATTGTCGGCGACCGTCGAAAGCTTGAAAGTAAACTCATCACAGCAGTAGCGTATCGCCTAATTTCAACTTGATATTCAATATTATTATTAATTTTTGTTGTTGTTGTTGTTGGAAAATTCTTTGTTGAATTTAATAGTTGATAACATTGTTCAAAGTATTGATGGAATTGAGTAGTGATTGTTGGTTGATTGATTGATTGATTGATTGATCAATGGACTGATTGGTACAGTACCAAACAAATCAAAATTTTTCAATGTGCCTTTTGATCACACAATGTGACAAAGTTAAGCCACCCCATCATAGCATTWAGTAAATTGTACAAGATTCAAGACCTACTTGATGCAAAATAAGATCTTGTGCCTGAATTGCTTCCCCACAGAACTCACAAGGAAGAACTGTCTGGTCTAGAGCTGTTAAAGGTTAACATTATTTTTCAATATGTATTTCAAATAACATGTGAGAAACAAACCAATTACTTGATGTGATTTAAAAAACAGTGGTAAAGGCAATAGTAACAGATGGTGGAAACCTAGGGAAAAACGGAAAGGAAGGGGACTGGGTTCTCCCCCCCCCCTTCACCCCCAGTCACTCCCTTTCCATTTTCCCTTCCCCAAGAGCCACTACACAGGCTAATGGAAACCTACAGTATGAACCATTACACAAAAGCAAGGATTRAATTATACATGTAGAACTGGGCTCATTGCAGTCTTTTTTCTGCTGTTGAAAAAACTTTAGGCAAATGAAAAATGTTAGCAACTTAAACAATATTTGTTACTGTAAGATGATTACCTGATTCATGGTGATTGTATCTGCTTTCAGTATCACAATCAAATGAATTTTGTCTCTGTAATAAATCTCTTTCTGAGCTGAACGGTTGATGATCAAATCCTTTGTTATCATCCTCACTTGCTAAAAAAGCAGCCATCAATTCATCATCTTCCAGTTGGTTTCTTCTGTGAATTTCATCTTCATAAATTGAATTATCAAAGTCACCAGAATATCTTTTCCTACTTGATCTATTTTCTTGATTATTCAGTCCTCCTCCTGAGTAATTATCCTGACTTGCTAACAAAGCAGYCATCAATTCATCCCCTTCTAGTTGGTCTCCTCTGTGAATTTCATCTTCATAAACTGAATTATCAAAGTCACCAGAATGTCTATTCCTTCTTGATTTACTTGCTTGATTATTTAAACCTCTTTCTGGGTACTCATTCTCACAAGCTAACAAAGCAGCCATCAATTCATCTGTTTCTAGTTGGTTTCCTCTGGGAATCTCATCTTCATAAACTGAATTATCAAAGTCAYCAGAATGTCTATTCCTTCTTGGTCTGGTAGGTTGAGAATTCAGAGTGAGACCTCTTGCAACRACATCTCTTGTTGGTTGTGGGAACATATTTCGAGTACCATGAAAAGACCTATGTTCATTGACATCACCAGCACCAAATAGTCCCCCTTGGCTAGTTGCTTGCAGCAACCTCTGCAGAGCATTAACTTCAAAGTCATAACCATCTCCATAATCAACATTATCAACATTGTGTATGAATTCATCTAAAGGAATCCTATTACGGCCTACAGATTGMAYTGTGGATGCTGCAGCATTATTTTGCCTAGATGGTAATTCTGCTTGGCAATCACTATTCAAATGAACTGCCAAGTCYTTGTGCTGGACATATTTGCTGCATTTCTCACACAACTCTGTTCTGCTTCCACAAAAATCCTTGTGTGACTTCATCTCAGAAAATGGTAACTCCAGTTCACAGTACTCGCACACAACTTTACGATGGGTGCARTCTCTTTCCTGGAATATAACAGAAYATTACAATTATCACACATACTCAATGCACACTCCATCTGAATGTAAATTAAATTGATATAACTTCTCTACTTATTACATAGATACTTAATACATGTATTTTCTGATACTGTAGTACCTTATGAGTTTCAAGATCCATTTTTTCAAAAGATTCACCACATTCACACTTAACCTGAAATAATAAATTTTAAAAAAGTCATGTGCAGCAATGATAAAGGATAGTGGATTGCAATGATAAAGGATAGTGGATTGCAATGATAAAGGATAGTGGATTGATGAACCCAACAGATTTGTACTGTCCAACAAATAACAGAAATCTCTCTATCCATCAGCATTGCTATTGATGATGTTGTTACTTTACCCAAAAAGTAAAAGACTGTTAATGCTTTCAATCAAATTATTTCAARGCCTTCAAARGTAAATGAAATCCAACATAGAATGATTTCATACAGTGGCATGGGCGGATCAAGCTAAAWTTTTTAGGGTGRAGGGCTAAATRGGCTTTATTTGTTATGAACAGCATTGGARATAATAAAAAACAGTGAWTTTTTTTGTGCTACAMGGGGGGGKGGGGKAATACAACTCTGGATCWGCSCWTGGGTGGCCTCAATTCTCTCTGTCAAAATGCACTAGACTTCATTCTTGATTTCTTCTTAATTTTAAAACTCCTTAACAGGGGTTAAAAATATAATAATTATGACAGCAGAAAATAGCTATAATTATAGGAGAAAGTGAGACCCACGACCTCAAATRCTAAAATTAAGTCATGACTCACTCMAGCTAATTCATGTCTTYAAGGAAAAGAAATTAAATCTAACCTTGGCATGATTTTCTTCAAAATGCTCATCTTTCTCTGATATTGGCACTGCTTCATTGCATAAATCACACAACATGATATTGCGGCTGCAATGTGATGTATGCATGACATAATTCACAGAAGGGATATCTCTTTTACTGAAAMACAACAACAACACAACAAATTACAAATAATGGCATATTAAACTAGTTAACAATAAATTCAATCATCTTTAAGATGCTTTTATATAAAACTCTKYAYATGMATTGTTCAAAGATTTGATTAATTATGACATTGGGRTTAACTCTACGCATAKCTACAAGAACCTACATTTATATTCATGGAATTGATGGCCAAATTATATCTTYAAAAAATTAGCGAAGGCTTATTAAAAGTAAAGAATATGCAATGTRAAAGGTGWGAAATCCACATTCAATGCATGTCAATGCATGTCGTGATCCCATTGATTTTGCAATGGGAAATTAGCATACTGACATTGGTGGCAATACACAATACATAACTTGCAAGAATCTTGTTTGSTAATTAGGGGTTCAGACTTTGGGTCAATAGAATTGAAAATCACATTGAGCTCTCAGTAATGTTCTTTCTTTTCAGAGATCAGAAATCCTGTCTCTATTCCCTTCATATTGTACTGGAGATATGTCAAAGAGCCCACAACATCGCTAGAGCACAAACAGACGTTTTGGTAGTCAAGGTAGTTGTTGACAAGGACTCTGTGATATTAAGCTTATATTGAAACATTTACAATAGACCTATTATGTAATAAAGGAAGAAGAATTACTGAAAGAATGTATATTATAATATAATCATCTGTATTTCACTTTCCAGGAAACTCCTCAATAAAAGTAAAAATATAAAAATTCTACAGTTGTCGTCAATATCGGTATTCTTAACTTATCATATATTTAAATTTTATATGCYATTGATAGCAAATGTACAAAGTAGGACGAAAGATATGTACCATTCACAACTTATTAAGCTGGAAAYAATGATATTTCTTAAAGATCATATTAAGTCGCTTACATCCTGAAAAGGTGAAGTCATTATTTTGAATTGGTGTCWGCTAAATATTTACTCCTGACTAGATCAATTGTTATTCAAGTATTSTCTATTTTAGAGGGCATCCTTCTCGTCTAAACAACATACGGTAACCTTGTGGGCACTCTGTAGATAGATATCTCAAGAATCTAAGCTTACCAGTTGTTGCAATATTCCGTTGAAATCTCTTCCTCTTTGCGTTCCTCCATTGTTGTCATTAACACTTTACCAGACTATGTCCGTTTTGATACGTGATTTGACGASTCGTGTCGAATATAACCTTAGTAAAAATATTCTTCGTATTGTTGGTAGTCTTTTAGTTCATCTGGATCAGTAAGGCAAAGATCGGGGAATTTTTGCCTCGTCATTTTCTGTATAAAACAGATTATCAAACAATCTTCCTTTCGCTTTCACTTGAACGTACATACCGCTGACCATAGTTTTGGTGGTAACTTTGGGCTTCCTGTGCTTCGACGCGAAGATCGGAGTGCGCAGGACTATCATACTATACTAGTATCTGTGAACTTCACTTTCTAAGTACTCTGCGAGAGGTTCTTTTCTCACCCGCCGAAAAGCGAGAGAAAAATAACTCGCTTTTTGGCGGGTGAGAAAAGAACCTCTGTTCGCAGAGTACTTTCTAAGTATTGTTACTGTTTTGTGGTTTTCTTTAGTTTGTTTGTCTTTTCTGATTTTCCTCTTTTTACATATCTTTTTTTGTATCTTTTGGCTTTTTCACTCTCCTTTTATAATAATATTTCTTGAGTATTCTGTTCTTACAGCAAAACCGGTAATGTATACGTAATTTAAAGATCCGTTTCAGGGCAAAATTTCAACGTCACCATGTCAAAAAAATAGCAAATCGAATCCAATCACTATATTTAACTTCGCTTGAATCGAGAAAAAAAGCTAAATAAAAGTGAAAAAAAAAAATTAATAACAGACAAGACCAATATATCTATGGCAGCAGGCAAAGAAAATACTATGGAAAAGCAGAACGAAAGAAATGGAAATGAAATGATGGACTGAAAGATGGAACGGCTCAAGGGAAAAAAATTGAAGAATAGAGAGTTTTAGATGCGCGTTTACGGCGAACGCCAAACGTCAAAAACTGATCACGTGATCACTGTTTTCTGTATTAACGCTCTGTTCTTTAGCGATTGTGTATAAAATAGATCACTTTTTCATGCATAGCGCATCACTATTCCTTTCGTAGCGTTTTTACGTTTGTTTGAAATTTTGCATTTTACGTTTKGCGTTTGCAGTAAACGTGAATCTAAAACTCTCTAATATCAACAACGTGACTTCAATAATTCGTGCCACAGTATGATGTTTGAGCCTTTGAGAATTGACCAATTGATATAGTTGTTCTTTAGACGACAGGACGAAGGGAGGCGTCTTCAAGACTAATTAAAAAGGATGGGAGAAGAATAACGTGACTTCGTGAATTCGTGTCATACCAATAGTTTTAAATGTTTAAAGTCGTCAGGAATTTAACCAATTGATAGCTCAACATGATTAACTTCCACTAACTTCCACATAATTAACGCCTGACCTGCATCACTATATAGTGGTGAAGTCTAGATCTATAAATAGAGGATATTATACATGGCTGCGCGGAGATACGGATTTTATCTTCGAGTGCTGAAAAGATCTCTCACGAGTTAGCTTAGCGAAGAGAGATTTTTAACACGAGAAGATAAAATTCGTATCTCCAAGCGACCATGTAATATTCTGTTTATCACATAATTATCAATGAAAGCGAATTATGTCGTAAAATACCTTTTTTTAATTGTTACTTTCACTATATAGATAAACCTCGAATGTGTTATTTTCACTAGTGAAAAYATCAACTTAACGTAATGAAGAAAATATAGGTATAAAATTATTTMTTTCTTTTACGATCATAAGATTTGAATCAAATTGCACTTAATTTTATCGAATATCCTTTAAAAAATCCTTTCTTTTCATCAAGAAGCAATTTTTTTCAGTATTATTTTGGATGCGACGACTTGAATTTATCGKTTTTTTTACGTCTTTAACTTTTAAAGCGCATCCAAATTGATTTACCTTAATTGGTTTGTGTTGAGAATATGGGACTTTAAAGRTCCTCCCCTTCAATTAGGATATTTTTATGGCTCGTGCGTTTTCAATGGCCTTCCCCGGCTTCTGCAATTTCTATAGATTATATTTTGCTTTATTTCACTAACAACCTCCATCCTTTTTTATTTAATTGACAATCTAGGAATATACTTCCCTCACTAAGCACCATCTAATTGTATAATGTCTGAATTAGTCTTTTCAGTTATTAACTACTTACTGGGGTCTAATTACATATAGCATTATCATGTCATTCAAACAATAGAAAATCTACCTCGAAATCGCTTTTGAAAGCGCTAAATATATTAACTGTAACATTGCCATCATCGTGATCATCAGTTATCATTATCATCATCAAAAAAGTTCAATTGTGAGCGAMTAAAATCAATTTCTGATATTGATTGTTAATAATGATCCCCACAATTTGCTTTGCTATCGAAGTTTCTGGAAACAATAAAAGTGAGMCARCCCMCAATCAACATCTAAAATTAGCACATGAAATTATTTAGTGGAAAATGGATCGGTAAATGATTAATTATTGAAAGTTGGGTTAGGAAAGAGTCAAGATTATTGAGCCAATTAACATTTCTAATTTCAAATCCTAGAAACTGAAAACCTCTTATGTAAGAATTAAAAAAAATAGTTTCTAGAAGGCAATATAATTGAGCATTTTTTTCTCTTTTTAATTCAGTTTGGGGATTGGATTTTCGTCGATTGTAATTCAAATGTAATAGTATTACAATTTATTTGTTTTGACGACTGCTTCAAAACTCAAAGATTAAAAGAGTTTGTAAAATCAACTTGAATCAAACKTACTTTACTCYCGATATTATATAAATTT